TAGGAGTTAGTTTCAATTCCTGCATTTTCTGAGCTATGTTTTTTTTTACTTAGATCAATTCTCGCATTTTCTGGGATTTTTTTGTTATACTTAGCCTTGTATAAATTTTGGTAAGCTACTTTCTCTACCGGAAACGCTGCCGAAATTTCTACAAATCCAAGGAGTTAGCCAATTGTTGACTTGTCAAAGTTCAACTTGTTTTTTCCTTATGTATGACCTAGTAGAAATTTGGAAAGTCTCCTTTTCTAAAGGGAGTGCTGGCTAAATTTTTGCTAATTCAGGGGGTTAGACAAAATTAGGCTTTGAGAAGTCAAAGTTCTTCTCAAATTATGGACTTAGCTTTGTATAAATTTTGGAATAACACTTTTCTAAAGGTAATGCTGTCGAAAATTCTGCAAAACTAAGGAGTTAGTCAAATCTTGTCCAAGTTGAACTCAAGTTGTCTTTTGAGTTCATATCGGACTTAGTATAAATCGGGTAAGTCTCTCTTTCTAAAGATAGTGCTGTCCAAATTTCTACTATTTCAGGGAGTTAAACAAAATTTTATTTTCCAGAGTTAGATATTACTCCTGCTTTTGATATTTGGACTTATATAAATTATGAAAATGCAATTTTCCTACGGGAAGCGCTGCCGAAATTTCCTTGACTTAGAGAAGTTAGATTATATTTTGACAGGTGGCGATTATGGCGATCCACCCTGAATGGGGGAGATTGTGCCATTAGTCTACCTTTGCTTTTGGCATTGGCTTAGGGGTAGGCTTAGACTTAGTTGGCAGATAACCTTGGATGAGAATGTGTTATGGAGTTGTTTCTTTTAGTTGGCAGGTAACCTTGGATGAGAATGTGTTATGGAGTTGTTTCTCCATACACTTATGATTCTAGCTTCGGGATTGGTCTGTCTTGTGTTACAGGTCTTCTGGATCGATTGATTCAGGACTTGGACTAGATTCAGCTTGATCCTACAAGGATCATCTTCTGTTATCATTGATAACAGGTCGGTTGCCGATTCAACTCCAATTCACTCCTGTCACTCAACCTAAAGGCCTTAGCCTTAAGATTTGAATTGTTTTGCTGTGTTCTTACCCGGACTTTATTGAATGGTCATCCAACAAAAGTACTGAGTATTAATTTAAGAGTTGCACGAGTGAGGCTTGTATGGCTAAGGCAAGGGGTATGAGTGTGAGAAATGGTTGAAGTTGACCCCGTGTAGTGCGTGGAATTCTGGTTGAATCTTTGATGTGATTGCAGGTATGGTTGTGATTCGGACTCTGGATGTGATTGTCTGCGATTTCATACATATATGGCTGAGAGGAGCCTCGCTGTGACTGTGAGAAGTGATCGTCCTATATAACCAACCCTTGTGTATTTATAAGTGCCCTGAGTATTTGAGAGGGCTACTGTGAGTGTGAACAAGGGTTAACTGGATTATGTCTCGGGAGGGAAGAGAGGTACCCTTTTTACCCTTGCTTTTTAGAGTTCGTATGGTTGGACGTTGTAGTGCGTGGCAGCCCTCAAAGTCAAACCCCTTGACTTTCGCCTAGGCCCGGGGAGGACTTACCCCCAGGGTCGCGAGAGACGACTACCACCACAGGAGTGGACCTGTGTACCACCTGCTTTGCATAACGTGCAGAAGAGGGTGTGTGGTCTTCAACCGCATATGGCGGTTGTCCAGCGTCGAGAGATTAACCCTTAAGGCGCGTGTCTGCCGACACTTGAGTGTCGAATACGACCCTCGAGATTAACGAGGACCGCGTGAGTATGGGTACTACATAGTACACCGTCATTGCGACTGCTTGCGTACGCTTGCATTGCGAGTCGATATGAGATAGTCCTGCGTCCGTGCGGCTTTATACCGAGTCTCGCGCGCGACACCCACATGATTTCCGCAGTGGAAAGTTATGGGACGGCTACCGAGGGGCTAGGAGCGTTGTCGCGTTGTTTGTGTCGCGTTGTTCGTGCGGGTCGTTACGTGTGTATGTGTGTGTGTGTGTGTTGTTGTTTTGTGGTTGTTAGAGTGGTGTGCGCGTGGTGTGTGGGATGCGTCCCAGTCGACCGACATCGAGTCGCGCTTGGGACTTCAGCCCCCCAAGATGTCGGCTCGCGCATGGGTCCGATAGGCGTATTACCGCGCGTGCCCTGTATGCTACAGCGAACGGGAAACACCCTCGGTTGGTCCACCTCTGCGATTGCAATGGATTAGCTTTCGTACTGTGGACTGGTAGCTCGGCGGGGCCACGCCCACCGAAGGGAGGTGACAGCTCCCGTAAGGTGGAGGTAAGTCGTGCCTCGCGTAGGCCCTATCCTGTTGTTGGGGCTCGCGAGAGGTATGGCTGGCGCACTCGGCCGGAGCAGCCTAAGGAAGCTCCATTGGCATGTTATGTCGAGGTCGGTCCAACTCCTGCATGACGCGGCCGAGAGGGTCCCGCACTGCCACGCGCGGTGCCGGACCGATGCGCTTGACAGGTGGCGCCGTTGCCGGGGATAACGGAAGCCTACCGTTGTCCCTGGTGGAACGACATCAGGGTATAGGAGTAAGAGAGAAACTAGGCATATGAGTGAGTAAGAGGAGGACTATGAGGGGGACTGTATGGTGATCTATATGACTGTGGGTTGAATGATTGATTGATTGGCGGCTTGGTTGACAACTCGAATGAAGCAAGTGGGTGAGGAAGTTCTATGGTAAAGGTAGGCCTTATCGAGGGGAGCCTAAAGGAAATAGGAAAAGAAATGCCTGCCAGGTCTAGAGTATGGGGTGTCTAGGTGATTTACCTGATAGGATCGTGAAGGATTGAGTCACTAAGTGGGGTCCTTTGTCCTATCGTCTCTTATAACAGGAAGATTGAAGCCGAAGGCGGTTGGCCAAAAAGCCAGAAGAAATGGCGGACGGTGGGAGGAAGCTTGTGACTCTCGACGACCTCATTGATGCCTTGGACAAGCGCGAGAGGGTGCCGAGCAATGTCCCAAAGGTCGAGACATTTCACTTCAAGGGGGACAAGGTATCCGACTGGTTGGATCTGACAGAACAGGCGCTGGTAGGACTGTCAGATGAGGTCAATCTCCAGCGGGTCCTGAGAAACGGCCTGCACAGTCACCATCGACTTGGAGGCCATGAATAAGGAAGACTTCTCTACCATTGGGGCGTTCGTGCACGAGTTTAAGAAAAAAACGAGGAAGGTGCACGGGATTTCTGAGGAGGCACAGTGCGCCACATTTTTGGGGCTGCTTACGGGCTCGGAGGCCACAAAGCTGACTAAGTATGGGGAAGGGAGTGAGAGGCTCACCTGGGCAACAATTGATAAGGGAGTGGAGGAAGGGAGCCTGGACCAGGTGGAGCAGCACCAAATGAGGTTGCAGAGGCGCAAGAGGAAGGAAAGGGATGCCACCGCATCCGTGACCCAGGGGTAAAGAGAATTGTCACGGACGTGTTGGCGGCACTGGGGTATAATAGCGAAGCGGAACTACAGAAAAAAGTGGTGGCAGTGGCCCAAGGCCGGGCGTCGGGAGTAGGAGATGAGGAGGCTGGGCGCGAAGACTACGGCGGAGGGGAGACAGGCTCCCAAGCCCTGACTAAGGCCCAGAGGAAGCAGCGTAATCTGCTACTGGGGGGACAGGGATCAGGGGAAGGGCAGGCTCCCCAAGCCCTTGCCGCACCACCACCTGTCACCGCGGCCGCACCAGCGCCCGCGCCAGCCGGATCGTCGCACATGGGGCCGCCGCCAACTTGCGGACACTGGGTGCCGCATTGTCAATCCACGCCCTGGCCCAGTTGCAACCACTGTGTCTCGTGTGGAGGGAGTCAGACCCACACGGGAAACATGGTCCCCTATTCGGGCCCATCAGCAAGTATGGGCCCCCCGAGCTACCCGGCGACTCAAAATCAGCCCGTGGCTCAACCGCCGCCCTCCGAGCAGGCCTCGCAAGCTAGTGTGGCCGGGGGAGGGGGCCAAGGACAAGGCGGGCAGGGCAATGGGGGCCGGGGCCAAGGGGGTAGGGGAGGGGGCAGCCGGGGGCAAGGAGGGAATGGTGGAGGCCGTGGAGGAGGCTGGAATGGTTAAGGGGGTCAGAACCAAGGTGGCCAAGGCAGCCAGGGAGGGGGCCAAGGGTATGGGAGGCCCCGCTTCGACTGGTGGAACGCAACTTGATGGCATTGTGGCGAGGTTGGCCACACCGTATGATTCTGGCAACAGCGGCGGGACGACGAGCTGGCAGGACTAATCTCCACCTGTATGGACGGAGACATATATGATCGGTGGGGAAAGCATATTGATCCCAAGACCCCGGGAGAAATCAGGCAGGAAGCTCTTAGGCGAGCAGCGGCAGGGCCTCCAGCGACCCCAACAATGTTCAGGATATGGCAGGAAAGGCAAGATCCGGGTGTAAGAGTCGAGGAGATTGTGGATGAAAATGAGAAAGTGACTCAACGACTGAAGGCGGGGACTATAAAGGAGGAGCCCATAGTTGTTGAGTCCGACGATGAGGCACACGAGGTGGTGAGAGAGTCAGCCTCGACCATCCTGGAAAGGATGGAGGACCTGCTTGCAAAGGTCGGTAGATATCAGGAACGGCTAAGGGTGATGTGTGAAGAGGCCCGAGAATGGGAAATGAATCTTCCTGAGGTAATGCTCTATGGGTCCGGCCCGAAGTCATCATCAGGACCGCAAGGGTGTCCAAGCGTGGCGACGGCCGGGGCAGGTCCGAGGTCAGGAATGACCTTTAGACCCCCTACGTCGCATGGAAGGGTACCACAGGCCGCGCAGACTAGGGGCCAAAGCAAGGCTACCGCCAGTCAGGGGCCTAGCCAGGCACCTAGTCGGGCGCCTCCTCGAAAGGAGCCTGAGCCCGAACGAAGGAAAGAAGTGGTAGAGGTTCAAGAAGAGGAAGATGAGGGTGATGACGAAGTGGATGAAAGGCTCCGCCAGGAAGAAGATCGACGAGCTGAGCAGAGGGCCAAGAAGAGAGGGATTCAGTGAGGGGCGGAGCCGAGCCTGCATGATGGCGTGCCAAAAAGGAAGAAGTACGCAGTCCGGTTGGAGGAAGGCTTTGACGTGGAGCGGATGGTAGATAAGCTCCTGGAAGACCATAACGATTTGATGAATCTAAAGGACATTTTGGCGTCGGCACCCAGACTCCGGGGCGAGCTGAAAGGGCGGCTCTCACGGAGGTTAGTGCCCATTGTCCACCTGAGCTCAATTCTGCCCAGGGAGATAGAGTGGACAGAGGCAGGAACCAGGATGGATTGGAAATGTGTAGCATGTGGGTTGGTGGACTTGAAGGTGAGGGACCAGCCGAGCATTGCAATGGTGGACACGGGCGCGGAGATGAATATCATCCGGGAGCGGGACGCGACTATGTTAGGGTTGGAAGTTGACCATTCGGACCATGGCGTGCTACATGGCGCCAACTGCAAGGCCATATTCTGTGGCACCTCGTCTAATGTGATGGTGGAGATCGGGAGGGTAAGGGCGCGAACGTGCTTCTTCGTCATGCCCGACGTCGACCACCCCATCCTTCTGGGGAGGTCGATCCTCTGCCGAACGGAGACCTTGATCTTCAACAGGCATGAGGGGACGATGATCCTGGCTCTATCCGATCCGGCCTGCGGGAATTATAAAATTATTAAGTGCCAGAACACAGGGCCCGGAAGTGCAAGGAACAGGCTCAACCTCGGTTCCTTTACCTTCGAGGAGTCTGAGTACGCGCGACGGAGACTCCAAGAGGAGCAGGAGGAGGAAGGAGCGGGCGAGGTATTGTCCCTGAGCCTTAATGATGTGAACAAGGCAATGGAGGTGGTGGCGGCGCATGATATGGCGGACCCTGAAGCTATAAAGGCATTGAGGGAGCAGGTCCTGGAAAGCCCTCAGGTGGGAGAAGTGGAGCTGATCTATCGGCTTCCCGGGAGGAAACGGGACCCTGTGATGGCCCAGGCCCGAATGACAAGTCGGCCTTTTTTAGGGGAGGGCTTAAGCAGGGCTCCCAAAGGCGGTACAAGACTATAGATAAGAAGTGTCGCCCGATCCCCGTGCTTGTCACGGAGGACGAGGAAGCCTATTATGAGCGAGAGCGATGACTGATAAGACGTACTATGCGGGAGCATGCGCAAGCAGGGCCGTGCCGCATCAATGACGAAAATGAGGAAGGGCTGATAGTTAGCGAGCCTGGTTTCCTTTCGCCCCAGGAGAGGACCTTGATGGTAGAGACCATGAAGAAGAGGCATCGAGTGCATGCGTTTAATGATGATGAGCGTGGGAGGTTGGGCGTAGATAAGATTCCTATAATACGAATTCACACCGTCCCACACGAGCCGTGGAACCTTAGGGGCGCGCGATTCCCGAATCCGGATGAAGAGAAGAAGGTGGTGGACTACCTGGACGGAAAGATGCGGACATACGTGGCAGACTATTCCAGCGGACCGTATGCCTCCCCTTGGTTTTGTTTTATCAAGCCGAACGGAACGCTACGGTGGGTACAGGATTTGCAACGATTGAATGCAGTGATGGTGCGGGACGCGGGAGGATTGCCGAACGCGGACGCCCTGCTAGAGTCATGGGCAGGGAGGCCTATAATCTCACTTATAGATCTTTATTCTAGGTATGACCACTTTCTTGTGTACCCACCGAATAGGCCGGTGACGGCGATGCATACGCCAAGGGGGCTGATCCACATGAACGTGGCCCCTCAGCGGTGGACTAATGCGGTAGCAATGGTGCAAAGGCACATGATTAGGGCCATGCAAACGGTTAGTCCACATATTACCCAGCCCTATATTGACGATCTGGCGGTCAAAGGCCCAAAGGAAAAGGAGGAAGATGAAGTGATGCCAGGAGTGAGGCGGTTCGTCTGGAAGCACATCCAGGATATCGATCAGGTTCTGGGTCTGCTGGAAGAACACTACCTGACGGCGAGCGGCCCCAAGTCGAAGCATTGTATGAGGGAGGCCACGATTCTGGGCTTTGTCTGGAACGAGAAGGGGCGGAGGCCAGATGTGAAGAAAACGGATAAGATCCTACAGTGGTCAGTCCCCTTATAGTCAATAACGGACTTGAGGAGCTTCTTTGGGACCTGTGGGTTTTGGAGGAGCGTTATGAAGGACTTCGCCACCAAGACGGAGCATCTAAGGAAACTAGTGCGTCAGGATCAGGAATGGGTCTGGGGTGAAGACCAGGAAAAGGCTGTGGAAAGGATAAAGGGAGAGTTCAAGGAAGGAGGCTTAGTGCTGGGGGCGCCAAATTATAAGGCTACGGAGGAAAAGCCATTCGTTGTCGAGACGGACGCTGGGCCAACTGCCTTAGGAGGGGTCCTGATCCAGGCAGATGCGGATGGGAAGGAGAGGCCGCTAAGATTTGAAAGTCGTACCCTCAATACGACTGAGAGGAACTACTCTCAGTTTAAAAAGGAGACGCTGGTGGTACTCCACTGCCTGAGGACCTTCCGTAACTATATCTTTGGCGGGAGGCTCATTCTAAGGGTGGACCTACTGCGCTGGCGTGTTCCCTGAAAAGTTATACTCCATCTGACCCAACCATCGCGAGATGGTTGACTTACATTTAGATGTTTAACTTTGAGTTGGAGAGGATTCCCGGGGACAAAAACAGGGCAGATGGACTAAGCCGTATCAACTGGGACGGGGCGAATCAAGAATCAATTGAGGATACCCCACCAGTCGACGGATTCTTGGACCAGGAGGAGGATGTCCGCCTCCACATAAATAAATGGTCATTGAGGGTGCCTAGCTGCGTCACGCATCCTATATGGCTAGCACCAAGGGGGTACAAGCGAAAGGAGGAGTTGGTCCTCAAGCCTTTCCAGGAGGAAGATCCATGGGGGAATAGGGATGTTGGCTGGATGATGAAGTTGGCATTGGCAGGCACACATAGTCTGGCGGAAGAGGTGAGGACGATAGAGGAAGGACCAACCCAGGTAGAGGAACATGAGAAGTTAATGGGAGGAATGTACTTGCTCACTAACACGCTCCTGCAGGGAGACTTTAACCAGAGGAGCGCCGCCGGTTCCGAGGAGGGCGACCTTCTTATTCCTGAAAGCAAGGACGACGAGTTCAAAGAGGGAGAGATTTGGGAGGCCTTCCGTGCTGAGGAGTATGACGGGATCTATCGGGAATTGGGGTTACTCCTGTCGTGCGAGATAAGGGATAGGGACGCGAGTGCTAAAGCCCAGAAGATGAGGCATCTCTACGTAGTAAGAGATGACCATCTATTTATAAAGCGACAGGTTGGGAACCCCAAGAGGATCGTATGTGGGAGGAACCGGCAGATTGATGTCATAGCAGCCCTACACGATGATATAGCAGGGGGGCAAAGAGGGGTTAGTGCCACATGCGCAAAGATAAGTGAGTTATACCATTGGGATGGAATGCTGACTATGGTCATCAAGTACTACCAGTCCTGTGTACCTTGCCAACAGAGGTCAGCGCAAAGGTCTGGGGAGCCTCTGCACCCCAGGCTAGAAAGGGAAGTCGTACACCTGGACTTGTTGTTCATGCCACTCGGGGAGGATGAAAGTACTATATCTTCGACGCACGGGACAACCTCACCGGGTTCGTGGACAGTCGGGCTATTCGCACAAAGACTGACCCAGTTTTAGCAAGGTACATCGAAGAGTACTACTTGCGCTATCCGTTTGTCAAAGAATTTGTGATGGACCGAGGATCGGAATTCACCTGTAACGAGGTGCGGACCTTACTTGCGGGGTATGGCATGGTAGCAAATTATACTACTGTCGCGCATCCCCAGGCGAATGCGCCTGTGGAAAGAGGGCATAGTACCATCACAAATCTTCTGGCCAAGTGGACTGAGGGGAGGCCTAACCAGTGGCCGAAGTTCCTGAGAGCAGCATTCTTCGTGGAAAATGTTACGGTGAAAAAGACTACCAAGTATGCGCCAGCCACACTATGGTATGGAAGGCATGCCACCTTTCCCATAGAAAGCTTCATGAAGACGTGGAGGCGCCAGGACCTGGAAGTGAACTTATCCGTTGAAAAATTGCTCGACATACGGGTGCGACAGGTGGGAGCCGCGGAGGAAAGGTTACGAGAGACCGTTGGTCAGGTAGAGAGGAGTCGTATGGAGGACAAGATGAGATGGGACCAGATGGCCCGAATAAGGAAGGACCCACTGAAGGTGGGAGACGTGGTACTACTGTATGAGTCCTCGCTGGAAAAACAATGGTCTAGGAAGCTCGACAAGCGATGGCTGGGACCCTATAGGATCGTGCGGTGTGGCGAATTTGGGGCCTACCAAATTGAAGAGCTGGATGGGGCAGGATGGCAGGATTGGGTATCAGGGATGAGGCTGAAGAAGTTCGTGACCATTGTTAGGAATAGAGCCTCGCCTAGGTATTACCCTTGTCAAGTGATTGGGTAGATGAGTGATTGGGATGAATAGGTGTGGAGTGTATGCGGGATTTCCCTAGACTAATGGACTCAGTTGCTGACCCTGCTGTGTACCTGTTTGCTGTCTCTCGCGTGGTGTGCAGGTCTGACTTTTCGAAGGCAGTCATGCAGAGGGGCGGGAGGGACACACTGCCACGGCAGGGGCCCTAGAGGGTAGCAGGAGGGGGCGAGCAGCACGAGCCGCCTAGGAGGGAACCTACGCCTGAGTTCGATGACGACAACACTGAGCTCTTCCTGGACGTATATCGGGATCATGCCACACAGAGAGGGTGTTCAGTGGTAGAGAGGATTCACCACTTGAGGGGTATAGGGCGGTTTGAGGAGCCTGTTGCTCAGATATGTGAGGAGACCCTGACTTGGCACGACGTGGAGGCTGGGATGCAGAGGTTGAGAACTTCCCATTTGATTGGAGGAGGGGAACGCGGAGTTCATTCCCGCAGATGAGCATTGCATGTTGAGTCAGGGGATTGCGCGGGAGGAGTGGGTGCAGACCCTACTTATCTGGACGAGGGGGGCAGAGAGGCCAGTGGCCAAACAGATTCGAGAGAGGGCTCAAGATTGGGAGGACTGCCAAGCTCAGCTTAGAAGGGCGTTCGGACGGCCACAGCACGAGAGGCACGAGCCCAGGATTGAGAGGCGGCGGCGAAGCAAGAGGCCAAGGGATCCGGCACCGAGAGAGGTGGGGCTGGCCGGAGAGAGGAGGAGAGCCCCAGCACAGCGGGAGGATGAGCCCGCGGGGCCCTCATTGGCAGAGGAGTCGGTTCCCTGCTTGTGGCCTCCGGGCAGTTGAGTTTCGGCGAATTACGAGTGAGGAGTTGAGATCGCCCTCACTGTTGCCATCAGCGCAGAAGCTCGACATACCAAGAGAGACGCCATTCCGAAGGTTAGTGACTCATCTTGATACATCTTGCTGACTAACACATAGGGGCTTAGTCCATACAACTGATTGGCCTGCCACCCTAGCCCTCATCACCTATGTACACATTATCTACGAGAGACCCACCCTAGCAGGATACATGGGCACTCCCTATCGGCCAACCGCGGCACGAACCTCCTCCCAGTCTACAACTCCTTCATTTGGCCAGATGGTGTTGCGTGGTTGATGAGCGATAGCGCAACAGGGGCGAACCCGGGCGCGGTTTCGAGCCGGGTGCGTGCGAAAGTTGCGATGGCGGAGCGATGAGAAAGGAGGAAGATAGAAAGGTGAAGCTCGCTCGCTTCTTAGCGAAAACGAGCGAGGTAGGAGGCGTTCCCGGGGTTTTGACCTGGGGTGAGTTCATCGATGGCGTTAGATCTAGTGATAAGTTAGTGGATAAGAAGATAGAGAGGAAACAGGGTGCACTGAGCTGGCGATGGTGAAGTGGGGGAAACGGGCATAACTAACCCGATTCTCAATGGATTCGGCACAGCGATGGGGGAGGAGGAAGATAGAAAGGTAAAGCTCACTCGCTTCTTAGCGAAAACGAGCGAGGGAGGAGGCGTTCCCGGGGTTTTGACCCAGGGCGAGTTCATCGGTGGCGTTAGATCTAGTGATAGGGTTAGTGGGTTATAAGATAAAGAGGAAACGGGGTGCACCGAGATGGCGATGGTGAAGTGGGGAAAACGGGCATAACTAACCCGATTCTCAATGGATTCGGGAGAGAAAGGAAGTGGACTGGTAGTTTTGACCCCGGGCGAATTTGATTATGGTGTTAGTTTATGTGAACAGTTAGTGGAATAGGTGGTTTGTAGTAAAGGTAAGTGCGTCGGGTGGTGGCGGAGGGAGCTATGTCGGTGAGCGATAGCGCAGCGGGGGCGAACCCGGGCGAGGTTTCGAGCCGGGTGCGTGCGAAAGTTGTGATGGCGGAGCAATGAGGGAGGAGGAAGGTAGAAAGGTGAAGCTCGCTTGCTTCTTAGCGAAATCGAGCGAGGGAGGAAGCATTCCCGGGGTTTTGACCCGGGGCGAGTTCATCAGTGGCGTGAGATCTAGTGATAGGTTATTGGATTAGAAGATAGAGAGGAAACGAGGTGCGCCGAGCTGGCGATGGTGAAGTGAGGGAAACGGGCATTACTAACCCGATTCTCAATGGATTCGGCGGAGCAATGAGGGAGGAGGAAGATAGAAAGGTGAAGCTCGCTCGCTTCTTAGCGAAAACGAGCGAGGGAGGAAACGTTCCCGGGGTTTTGATCAAGGGGGAGTTCATCGGTGGCGTTAGATCCAGTGATAGGTTAGTGGATTAGAAGATAGAGAGGAAACGGGGTGCGCCGAGCTGGCGATGGTGAAGTGGGGGAAACGGGCATAACTAACCCGATTCTCAATGGATTCGGTGGAGCGATGAGGGAGGAGGAAGATAGAAAGGTGAAGCTCGCTCGCTTCTTAGCGAAAACGAGCGAGGGAGGAGGCGTTCCTGGGGTTTTGACCCGGGGCGAGTTCATCGGTGGCGTTAGATCTAGTGATAGGTTAGTGGATTAGAAGATACAGACGAAACGGGGTGCGCCGAGCTGGCGATGGTGAAGTGGGGGAAACGGGCATAACTAACCCGATTCTCAATGGATTCGGGAGAGAAAGGAAGTCGTCCGGAGGTTTTGACCCCGGGCGAATTTGATTATGGTGTTAGTTTTAGTGAAGAGTTAGTGGAACAGGTGGTTCGTAGTAAAGGTTAGTGCATCGGGTGGTGGTGGAGGGAGCTATGTTAGTGAGCGATAGCGCGGCGGGGGCGAACCCTCGCGCGGTTTCGAGCCGGGTGCGTGCGAAAGTTGTGATGGAGGAGCGATGAGGGAGGAGGAAGATAGAAAGGTTAAGCTCACTCGCTTCTTAGCGAAAACGAGCGAGGGAGGAGGCGTTCCTCGGGTTTTGACCCGGGGCGAGTTCATCGGTGGCGTTAGATCTAGTGATAGGTTAGTGGATTAGAAGATAGAGAGGAAACGGGTTGCGCCGAGCTGGCGATGGTGAAGTGGGGGAAACGGGCATAACTAACCCGATTCTCAATGGATTCGGCGGAGCGATGAGGGAGGAGGAAGATAGA